CTATAGGAACTGTAAGAACATATAAAAACACCATCATATATATTTTTTGTCTTCTTCTTGTGAGCAGTCATTCCTTATTTATGTTAGGAGAAGTCACACCAAGTGTGAGAGGGTACTTGCTTTAAAACTAAGTTTTACTCATACTTTTTGAAAACATAGAAATAGTGCTGCATCCTTTACTAGCAAGTTATCACAGTTTACATGGCAGCATTAAAAATCAGGAATGCCCATGTGTACATCCCACCTAGTACTACTGCATGTTTCAAAGCACTCACTGAGGGATGAGAGTATGTTGTGTAGCAGCTGAAAATAGGCTGTGGATCACACAGCTGACTCACATTCTCAGTGTTTGGCTACCTGAGGTGGTGTGTGCTTGGTATTTTTCTCCTGTTGTTTTCACATACAGTACAGTGTGGAAACTCTTCTGTATTTTCATGTAAGTAAAAATGTCTGTCCTTTAAAGTAATAGGATAAGCAGAAGGATTATTGTTCATTAAGTGAATGCAGACCGGTTGTCCTGTTTGGATTAGTGGGTCATGGTTGACATGAGATGTTTCTTTTAGTCTGAACCACCTCTGATTTATTCCTGTTGACATTTTGTTTGCCATGTAGCTAAGTTACACTTTTTGAAAAGAAAAATAGAGCTTCAGCTCTTGACACGTTTCTTCCAATCAAGTCTCCACATCTGTCATCGCTCGTCCATGTGTGGGCGTATTTGCACAGGATCTGTGGAGGTGGACTGTCGCCCCTGGGGCACACAGACGTCCACTGATGGCAGAGAAACCTCCTTTTTTTAGCCAAATTGTCCCAGCTGCTTACAGCTGTTTCCATGGTTTGAGTTAAGTACAACAATTGACATCATCCCAAAAAAAAAAAAAAAAAAAAAAGTCAGACTTCCTTGCACCAGGTTATTGGTAATCATTGGATTTTATTTTTTTATGTGTTTTCATATTTTCTGTCTGATAAAATATGTTGTGTTGAGTTGACCATGAATGACGCTTTTTCATGCCTCATCGCAGAGTGTTTGGTCAGATAAGAGGGAGACTGAGCTTTCTAGCAACAAAGTCCCAGTGAGGTTTAGCAAGACACATTTTAAGTTTGTGATGTTGGACCTTTTGTCCTGACATCCATTCCAAACAAACAGTTTTCATGTAGACAGTGTGTGTTGAGAATGGATAATTCCAAGATTCCAATTTATGCTATCTTATTGTTTATTAGTAAAGTTTTTTTTTTTTTTTTTTTTTTTTTTTTAAATTGTGGTAGTTCTTGCTATTTATTGGGGGACGCAATTTTATTTGGAATCGCTACCGCATGT